CATGACCCAGGACCAAGCTTGTGTGGTTTTTGCACATGGAACTATAGAAAATATTGGTGTGATGTAGTCCTGCATTAAAAAATGGGAAAACGTTTTCCATGCCCGCCTTTCTCGAACCCTGGGCATTGTTCTTGAACACTACTGTGCTTGCGTCAAATAGGTTTTGGATGGTGGAATATTTAAAAGGCCACAGCTCCACCAGTGCCGGTGACCGATTCAGCCTCCGTCAGTGACTCGAAAAATGATTCTTCATCTATTCTACTGATTCTCCGAGTCACTGACGGAGGCTGAGCAGTAATAGGCTGTGCTAAGGCAATGGGAGACCGAAAGCGAATAATAGGAGTATAAGGCTCGAGAGCGCAACGATGACGGGGAGGCAAATAACATCCCGCTGACGGTAAAAAAAATAATACTCTTGAAACTATCTTTCGAACTCTCCTGCGTCCTTGTTGGACGAAAACCATACACGGGCGTGCCACATCTTCGACTGTCCTCTAAGGGTCTACCTTACAGACCGAAGGGAATCGTTCACCACATCTGCCTGGGCTGTTCTTTCAAAAGCCGTAAATTTGCCAAACAACAAGCAAGCGAGAAATTCTGTATCAATTCTGTGAAATCTGTATTACAAAAATTCAGTCAAAACTGCTACGGTGAACCAGCTGTGATGGTCCAGGATAAGATTTGGTGGCGGTGCCATCACATTTCGAAGATAACCCTGTAGAAATTTGAAAATTTTACAATTTATTATCACTTCTGCAGATGAACACCAAATCCAAATACAAGTGAAACAGGCAGTTTGAGTGAACCATTTTCCATTGGAATCAGTTCTGCGCCAGCCGTACTCCTGAGATCCCCTTGAGCATTCCCTTGTTTGACATTTCTCGGAACTCTTCATCAGACACACGCCTGAAACATGGGTGCTTTTCAAAGAAAAACTGTCACGTCAGGGTGATTCGATACTTCCGTACTTGATCTTTCGTGTCCTTGTGGGGCCGTCCACTCGATATTGAACCATTCGTTCGAAATCAACTTCATACCTCAATTTCGTACCAGTTGTAAAAGCAAACAGAGAATATATATTGAAGCACTTACTTGAAACCGCAAATCAGCAACTCAACGGTATTCTTTTCTGACTGGCGACCACTTTCAAGATCTTTCTCCAACCGAGGATCAAATCTCCACCAACCACCACGACCCTAAAAGTCCAGCCATTAAGTGGGACGGTCTAATAACCGTGAAGCTCCTCACAATATTGGTTGGTGCATTCTCATAAAAATGAGGGCCGTTGAAGAACTGTGGTAACAAAGAGTCCCTTCGCAGGTAGAGAATAGAAAAGGCTACCCTATCTCGTTCTGCCCTAGTTGCCAAACCCTGACCCGTGTGTTGCATCCTTCTTCCGGCTTAGTTTCCCTTACCCGCTAACTAAAGGACCAGAAATGCAAGTTCTCGCAGGAAAAGATTGGTGGAATGATTATCACACTTGTACATCTTTCATTCGCTTTGAAAGGTTTTCTATGAAGGTCAAATATTATGACAAAATTACGCAAAGATGATCTTTCAAGTGCTCACCTTATATAACCAGTAGTATCTTTCATTGCCAGAAGTCGCACTTGGCCTCGTTTCTTGTTGTAACTGTTTCGAATCCTGCTCATTGGACTGCTCGCGCGTCTCAGTACTTGTTGAGGGACCAGGCTCGTCGCTGCACACCCTAGCCTGTTTGCAGGGCGGACCTAAATCAAACGAATCATGCACAGCAGCCACATGACTCTATTCCTCATTAATGAATGGTTTGAGAGGCATCATTTTCAAATTAACGAAAAATGCATTTGCTTTGCAAAAAACAGGCAAGCTCAGAAAATTATTACTTTTCAATTTCCGGCCGCACAACTGCTTCAAATGTGGACGGCGTAGGGGAAGTCTTTTTTTTTCTTGGGTAGCCGTCACAGGGGAATCTTTTCGGCCTTAAATTCAATTCTCCCTATGATGCGTCACCTAAAACCGGGAGGTATATTGGTACAGGGCTGCAGAGGCCCAGGAAATGAAGATTCCTGTCAAGCCTGAGGAGGATTTCCGAAGCGTAAAGCAATTTTTTGACTCATTCGCGACAATGTCAGCCTCCAGTGACCGGCACTGTCGGTCCGAACGGGCGGTTCTCAATGAGCCATTTCTCCCCACAGGAGTAAGGCTCGCAGCATATCCTAGTTTCAGTAGACTGATCAAGCTATTTGGAATTCCCGTGGATCACATGAACTACTGCACCAAAAGAGATGAAATATTAAAAATTACATTTTGAACATCACCTTTTTTTACCTTTGAAATCAACGGCATGCGACGTATCCCACTACAAATCGATTCTTGCCACACCAGACACGGGGGTGTGGTATGGACAGAAGCAATTTATTGCTTTCGCGCGCGGCAACATTTTTTTACATTCTCAACCTCAGGGTCCACCTCTGATCATCAGGGACCTCAGATACTCGCGCGAAAAATCAGTGCAACAAAGGTTCCCACACGGAATTTACTGGCCGAAACACGAAAATCGCTTCTGTCCTGGCAACCACAACATACGACCGCGAACCCACCCCTCGTTATTCTACTACTCTTTCGCCGCGGACATGCTCCTCCTCTTCTCCATTCCTTCAAAGTTTTCCAAGCTGCTTCAAATTTTCTGTAAAGCAAACTAAATCGCAAAGTGAAAGTGCCAACCGGAGCAGTCCGATTTCGGCCTTGATGGCTTCTCTGCTACAGTGGGTGATTCCGGGTCGTGCATATCTATAGTGATATTGCGCATGGCAGGGCTTCGAAATATAGAAGTGCTGACATTCCCACGACACATCGGACATAACCGCTCCTGCGTTCGAAAAGCGGCGCCTGAAGGGAGCTGAATATATGCGGGCAATACTTTACCATAAGTCCACTTGAAAAGCTCATAACATGGACCTACCTTTGATACACAGAAAACAGAATTTATGCCCACATCCAGGCACAGCCGTGGGAAGTATCATTTTCTGAGCACAAATAGGGCATTCATCGTCATCTTCTTCTGCCATTTTAATAGTTATAATATTTAGCTCTGCAACCCAGATGGAATAATTCACTGTAAGTTATTCAGTTCAATCCGCATATGATTAGAGTTTGACTCAACAGTGGAGCAGAAGCAGAGAGCGAGTCAGTCGCTGTCGGAGATTTCCAATCTCCAATAGTTTGATGCGACTCAGAAAATGGGGCCGCAGAGAAGGGAACATGGACAAGATAAGAAGAGCACAACACCTATTCTGGAACACTGAAGCTGAACAAGATGACTAAACATCAAATGTGTCCTCTCCTCCAAAGTGAGCACAAAGTAGTAGTACCCACATCGCGTTATTCCTAATTCGATAAACTAACCCTTTTTATGACAGTTCATTGCCTAACAGTTCCGCATTTAATAATTAGCGCCAAAAATGCAACAGCTTCATCAACAAATCTTGAAGCAAGAATCAAATTCAGGATAAGATGCAATTTCATCTAAGAATACGCCCAAAAGCTGGAAGTCGCTACAGATACAGTCTGACGGCGAATTTGCCAAAACTCAAATTTTCGAGCGAATTCCGATTGTAAAATACAACCATGCCTGTCACTACCACGCCTTTCGGGGCTCATAAAACCGGGAAGAGCTCGCGACTCCGCCATCTTAGAATTGCACGATTGAGTGATCGTACGCCAGTGCTATAGTTGTGATTAAAACCGTGGCTTTCAAGAATGCAGGCACGAGTACACCCTCTCAACTCCAACAGCCCTGTCGCAATATATTTAGTACTGAACATTTATCAACCGAGCAATGGCATGCTTAGGCCGATGTCAGACTTTGCGAATCGCGCGATTCGCTAGCGTCCGCGGTTGCGGTACCAGCCAATTGAGTGATTCACTGGCCGCGACGCGACCGCAGACGCTAGCGAATCGCGCGATTCGCAAAGTCTGACATCGGCCTTAACATGCATAACTCACCGCATCATAGGCGGTCGTCCGTCGTAACAATCGGACACGCATTGGATGTACCGATGTATCACCCGTGTCCGAGGATTGGACAATCGATACGTATCTAATGCTGCGCGATCGTTACGATCGGACGACCGACTATGAATGCGCCCCTAGGATCGCGTGCTCACCTAAGGACATTACCGAATTATCCGTTCGATCAAGTTTGCGGATGGAACAGCTTCGAATCGTTCCAAAACCAGCCCACACTACAGAAAATCATTAACGCACAACGACCCGAGCAATGTTGCATTGCTTTCAAATTCAGACTTTCCTTTTTTGCAAAGGTGTACCGTACAAGTTACCATTTCGACGGCAAGCCTCCACGGTGTCATAAGCGCAGATGCGCTGTTTCCTTTCGAAATTCAATTCCAGCCCATTTTGAAAAAAAAAACCCAACTACAACATGAAACCATGAACCCTAATCCTTCTCTCAAAAAAAGTAAGACGATTGGCCAAGAACGAGAATACCTTTAATACACAACTTGGGAGAAATTCGGCTTAAATCTCGCTTCCCGAACCTTTGCAGGTGTTGCCTCACATTGGAACACCTCATCTTTAATCGTTATGGACCCAAAACACGCTTGACAGGACCTTTGCCCACTTGGAAAACCATTATTCCCACATTTACGAGTAATGTCCTTTCTGTTGTTCCAGGACTAAAGCAAACAATATAGAAGCAAAGATAGATGGTTCGACCACACGCGTGAAACGCCTCAACAAGTTTTCCCAGCAGTGGTTTACCCTTGTACTACTTGTTATTTAGCGAGAATCCATGAACATCACATAGAACATTTAAACTCAAAATATTTTAAATTCAACTTTTCTTCATGCACAAAAACATACACGGAGAAAACCACAAACAAATCAATTTCAACGGCGGATAACAAGGAACAAGGCAGCCAAACAAGTTGCAGTCCTGTCCACCTCTGAACTCGTCTTAGTTGGCCTGAGTGACCTCAACATTGACTCCGGGCTCGATGGAGATGGAGGTGATCTGGCGCAAGAGATCAGCAGGGGTGTGCAGGTTGATGAGACGCTTATGAATGCGCATCTGAAAAAGAAATCGTTAAGGCAAAAGAGAAGAAATCGGTGTTAATAGAGAACCGATAAGTAATTGACGATTGACGAACCTGGAAACGATCCCAGGTCTTTGACCCTTCTCCGCAAGGAGTCTTGCGAGTGGTGATACGCAGCACTTTGGTTGGAAGACGAATAGGACCTTTTACCACAAGGTTCTCCTTCTTAGCGCCTTCGATCAGCTGAGCGCACACTGTAATTAGTTTCAATGAGAACTGTGGAACGAAAAAGCACAAAACTATCGGCTGCGAAGATCCGCAGTCCAATGAAAAACCGAGCGACATACTATCACCTTATAATTGCGACAACGCTGCCGCACTCAACCCCAAACAGGGAAAGGGGAACAACATCCCTACCCCTTACATCCCTTTTATTGTAACGCAGTTTTAACAAATAACGCTTTTATTAAGGCGCTGACAATCACGATTGGGTATGTTTGAGCATATTTTTCAACATTTTAGTATCATTTCAGCGAATAGCAACATCTACCAGCAAAAGGCATACGAACCATCGCTAGAGTAACTTTCGCCAACGATTCACCGAAGAATGGATGTTTTCCCAAAATGTTATCTGCTTCGACTGGAAAAAGCAGTGAGGTCGATTCCATGTGCTCTGAATTGTTTATTTTCGTCCGTTAAGTGACTGCTGATCAACATAGATAGAGCAGTCGGGAGGTTGGTCACCCTTCACCGTAGATTTGATGAGAATCCTCAGATAACTCAGGTAAGCTTCATTGAGTTGCACAATATTCGAAACTTGCATGCTCGGCTGTCATGAAGTATACACACTTTTTTGAACTGTAAGCATACTTCTTGTTGTTTCCAGCCAACATCCGCCGTCGATCACAGCTGCTCCCGACAGCTTCAATGTTGGAGCGAGAAAGAAGTTCCCGGTGGTTTGCTCACTAGACGGACAGTATAACCCTTGGATGAAGTAATTAACTTCCCAGGAATTCCTGGCCGGTCCTGCCACTGTGTGTATGGGTTAACATAATAAGGTTGTCCCTGCTTATCGGCAGTAATGACATGCTCCGTCAGCCTGC